TTCTAGTACTCTATTTACTCTTATTAAATTAAACAATAATTTAGTAGCTATAACAAAAAAATAATAAATATGCACTTCTTTAATTTATAAAGAAGATACCCACAGATTTAAACTACGTCTCAACTAAGGTAGGTTCGAACCCACTATCTCCCACATATGGGAGCAACCTAGTCCCATTATTGGACCACAAGGCCCTTGGTGTCAATAATGACTTTATTCAAAAAAAAATTATTCATTATCAATAAATTAAATAAGAGAAATAATTTCATTAGTTATATTGTCTTTATTTTTCTCCAATATAAAAATTTTTTACATTAAATTCATCAATTGATTATACTCACTACATTGTCCCTACAATGTCTTTATTCAAACAAAAAAAAAATCTTTATCAATAAATTAATTAAGAGAAATAATTTATTAGTTATATTGTCTTTATTTTTCTCTAATGTAAAAATTCTTTACATTCAAATTCATCAATTGATTATATTCACTAGATTTTCTATTATCTTTTCTGTGCCCTATTTTTTAATTAAATATCAAAGTTATAATACAAATTAATGTTATATATTTATTTACCAAGTATTTTATTAATACCATGAAAAAATTAAAAAATATATATATAATTAAGTCAATCAAATTAAACTACTTGAGACATTTGTTGACAAAGAGACTAAGAGAGTATTAAAATAATAAAATCACACAACAAATTGAAGTGGAAAACTATCTCGCAATGTCCTTGTTTGGCAATCAGCAGTTAGCGGTTTAGCGTTAGCGGATTTAACCAGCGAATTATATCAATTGTTGGTAAAAAGATATTAAAAAAAATTAACTGTTTAGATTAACATGTAAAATGACCTAAGGGTATAATAATAATAATAATAATAATAATAATAATAATAATAATAATAATAATAATAATAATAATAATAATAATAATAATAATAATAATAATATTATTATTATTATTATTATTATTATTATTATTATTATTATTATTATTATTAGTATTATTATTATTTTTATTATTTTTTAAAAAATAAAAATGAAATAATAATAATTTAATAAACGAAATAAAAATTAAAAAAAAAAAAACATATGGAGAGTCTTAGTTTTGTGACTTTTCCCACATCGGTGGAAAAAGTGGCATGGGAACTTGAGGCTCCAATAAAAGGAGCATTAAGGCTACAATTTAAAAATTAAGATTGCCCATCCGTTGATGGGCAAGCAGTGAGCCAGTGAAACTGCCTCTTGTTATTCAAGGAGTCGAAATGGCTCTACAATAAACTTTAATATATATATATATAATATATATATATATATATATATATATGTGTGTGTGTGTGTGTGTGTGTGTGTGTGTGTGTGTGTGTGTGTGTGTGTGTGTGTGTTTTGGGAAAATCATTCTAAAAGACGCTAAGTGAAAATATTGTAAATTGCAATGTTTGTATTTTCAGTGGCTTAGAACAAATTGTTGGCTCAAATTGTTAAATAACCAAACACTTTCTTTAGCATTTTGATCTTTGGGTTACATCATATTTACCAATCGTCCAATATCTTTGGGTTACATTATAATTAATTAAATTTTTACTACTTCATCTAAAATTCCTTAAATTAGGAAATTTCTTTATCCATAATAATTTATTCAACAATAATGGTTGAACTAAATGAAACACTGAGACACCTAAAGGATTGGCACCGTTGAACACTGAGCAAAACACCTAAAGGATTGATACCGTTTGATTCATTCATTGATCTTGTATATATGTGCATTAATTAAATATATTAGAACCCTTTGAAACAAAAATACTTTGTTACTAATTTAAAAAAAGTTTAGTAACAATTATAATGAATCTTCATATATTACATTGTATTCATATTACTATGAGTTACATATTTTAACAAAAAAATTCGACATTAAATTACTCATATATGAACTTCTTATATATAATTTTGCATTGATATACTTTCAAATATTTATTTAATTATAAACATTGGAGATTAACTCATTTCGCCGCAATGCGGGTATAAAACTAGTTGTCATATATAAAGAATGATTGTTTAGGAACTTCGAAGGTTCTGTCCACTTTTTTTTGGATACTGTTGGAAGGGGGACACCCGAGGAAAGCCTCAAGCACTCAGAAGGCGCCATACTGGGTAGCCTCAAGCACTCAGAAGGTTCTGTCCACTTTAATTTGTCACTAATTTATTTTGCAAATATAATGGATTATCCAATCACAAAGACTTGTATATTCAATATATAATATTACCGGGTCAATTTTTGTGTATGTTTTGATTGACAAGATTTGACTTAAGTTATGTGCCAATTTAATTTTTGGAAAATATGTATTTAGTTTATTGCTTAGTTCGTAGTATATATAAAATTAATATATTTAACATTAGATCAAATGTATTATTTATTTCAAAAATGTTTTTAAAAAGAAAAAAAAAAAAGAGTTAATTGACTAATGAATAATAAATCAAACAAGTAAAATATGATAAAGGAAGTATATAAGAAGTAGCTCCTTCAACTCCCTCCTCCCTAATGCTTTAAAGGTATTTGAACTTGTGTAAAAATATCCTTAATGTAATTTGAAATGGTCAACATAATAACAAACTAATTATAAAAATTGATAAAATGGAAGAGAAAAAAATATTCTTACGCATACAATGCAATTTATTCTAAAGTAAAATATTGAATAGCTACCAAGACCATGGGGTCTAATGGTACCGGGGTTGGACTTCCATAAGGTTGTGAGTTTAAGCCTCAGTAGAGGCGTTATTGGTTCTTTGTGTTTCAGTAGATTGAGAAAGCCAGTAGCATTCAAACAAAAAAATGATTAGATAATGATTAAATATCAACTTTTTTTATACTACTGACTTTGTTATCTACTGAGGCATAAAGAGTCAATATGACCTCCAATGGGGCTCAAATTCATAATCTCCCTTTTGTGGGATCTACTTATGCCCACTAGACCACAAGGTCATTGGTAATTAAATATCAATTGAGTATAAATAATTTAGATAAAAATTAAAAATTATAATAATTACTTTTTTTTTTGGGTAATTATAATAATTAATTATTGTAGGGAAATCCTCAACTTTCTATCGAGCTTTCATCACTGCCCTTTTCATCCCAGCATTTCCTCCATCAAAAATCACAATCCAATTCCTGACTCTCTTCTATCGCTAACCACAATTTTCTCTTTGGTCGTCATCCACGACTCTCTTTCCCCATATTATTCCTAACTTTCACTCATTCAAATTTGTATTTAGATTTCTAGTAAATTGAGCTTCGAAAATGAATATGGAGGCTTGAAAAAAAATAATAAATTATGCGAGTCATAAACTTGAGAAATGAAAAATGGAGAAATAAAGTAAATGGTTCAATGTTTGTAAGATTTTGATGTAATTCAATTCACTAATAGTTTCATGAAATGAATTTTGAATGAACAAGAATGTTATTCCATATGAAAATGGAATATATAGAGAACAAATGACCAAGAAAGAACCGAGAATTAATCACAGCCGTCCACTTGTCCAGATCTAACGGATCATATGTAAATTTTTTTGTAAATAAATCAAACTTTGGTGCAAGTAACATGTATTAAAAGTACAAGTACAATAACTGTGCAACTATTTTCACTTAATAGTGCGAGTAATTTATCTTTTCACATCACATTAATGCACCTAATAATAACATCTTACACATTTGTGCATTAATATAACATTTGATGTACTTAATATTGTTGCTCAGTGTAAATTATTTGTTGTACTTTTAATAGACCAAGGGCATCCCAATGGTAGCTTTTGAGATGCCAAATCAATACATAACTACCAAGCAAATGATTGGGGAGTGCAAAATTTTAGGTGTAGGTACAAGACCTAACAAGCTTAGGAAGTATGAGAAAAGAAGAGGAAAATGTTATCCTCCCATTTTTACTCTAAAAAATTAGCTTTTCAAAACGCATCAAATAAGATCATCAGAAAATAAAAAAATTAGCTTTTCAAACGCATCAAATAAGATCATCAGAAAATAAAATTGAAGAAGTAAGATTTGAAAATTCATATAGAAAAAGAAAAAGGAAATACAAAAGGTTACAACCGCTAGTGCGCCACATAAAGTAAGTCTGTTCTGCGTTGTAATGAAGTGGCTACACTTCTTTACAATCTTATTTTTAATTTTTGTTTCTAAAAAAAATATTATTCAATTTGTTTTTATATATAAGTTAGAAATTATATGTAAAATAATTATAATTCTAATTAGATTTTAAAAGTTACTGTATATTATATTTTATTTGATAATTAATTAATTTGAGATACTATTTAAACTTTAAATAAAATTAATAAATGAAAATAAAATAAAAAATACTGACATTATTATAGGCCTACAAATATTTGGTTGATAGATAAAACCATCGAAAAAGAAAGAAATATTGAAAATAGATGGGATATTGAATGTTGTAAAACAATGGCAAAGTATTCTGTGGACCCGGGTCCTCCTTACAAAGTGGACCCAAATTCAATATACACAATTTACATACTGAACGTTCACAATTTTGTAAAAGGTAAATTGTAATAAACATTTAATAGGTAAATTGTGAACATTCAATATATAAATTGTGTATTTTAGACCCAAGTCCACCTCGCAAGGTGGACCATGGTATAACAACTGTGAAATACTTTAGCCACACATAATAGAAAATGGCAACTAAAATGACACTCCATGAAGAAAGGTCCACAAAGTACAGACAGTATTACTCAAGCTGGACAATTGTAGCTAAAGAACACCCAAATTGATAATTTTGTGCTACCAAACTATGGTTGATGAATTCCTTCTTAGTTGATTGCCATTGCTTAAAAGATAACATTACTCAATTTCTGTTACTGAAAGTCCCAGATGAGGCAATAAATAATTCTGGAATACAAATTTAAATCCAACTTTTTATGATAGGCAATATATGAGGGCTTGGGTGACCATACATAAAATAAAATAGATGGAGAAAAAACACCACCAGGTAAATATAGGATTGTATGTCTAAACTTTCAATATATATATCACGAAACAGAGTTCAAAACTATGACTAAAGCAACAATAGTGCAATACAGCCAATGATCCAGAAATGTTCAACGATCCACGCATGCATCAAAGCCAAGCATTAAGATGTAAATACTCGCTACTTATCTTAGTTCTTTGGGCCTATGTCCTTGAGAGCACAGATCTGTTCCTCCCCCATTGCAGACATGACCGATACAACAAGATCTTTTCCTTCACCAAATCCGTCCTTAATCTGCCAAGTAAAATTCAGAAGTTAAATGAGTATGGACAAAGTTACAAAAGGCGATAACAATAACAATAACAATAATAATAATAATAATAATAACAATAACACACCACACACACACACTCGGCCAAGTGGGCACGGCCGACTAAAAGGCACCTAGGAGTGAAATCCCCACAGCCTAGCAGCTTCCTAGGCCAATTTACAACACTGAGTATGGGAAAATCAAATCCTCACGGTACTCGGGAACAAATGTGACAAAATAACTTCTTTCAATTCAAGAGCTTTTGGAACCTGAGTTAAGAGATTTTCATCTGTCGGAAGCCTTAAATCATCCTTGGTGTTGCCACTCTCAGTCAGAAGGCTCACCTGAAAGAAAACAATGAAGGTAGGTTGAAATTACAATTGAGCAAGAATCTTATAAAAGCATGCCAACGAATAATGACTCCACATATACACCTTACTAGAAAAGGATATCGAACAAAAGTCAATATGATGAAATTTGCATATTAGGAGCCATTTATTGTTACACAAATATTTATAACACAATGACAACACCAAGTTTCACAGTTCAAAGTAACTCAAAGTAGCAAGAACAAATGATGTAATAGGATATTATTCTACACTTCTACTAAATTGGCATTCTTTATTCACAAATGTTACTTACAAAACCATCCTCAGAAATATCAATCAGCTGATAGTCAGTACGGTTAACATGAGGAACTGCAAAACAGTAGTAAAACAGTAGTCATGAGAAAAAACCAAAAGCAACATCTTGAATGAACAAAAGTACAATTCCTACATCACAGTTATGAGATGATGGGACAATATCCTCAAGCTTCTTGCCAGTGAAGATATCAATTGCAACAAAATGACACTTGGCATGTCCATGCTTCCCTGTTTTTGGAGGTAGAGACCTCAACAACCTACATTAACCATAGAGACCATGAATACTTCAATTAAAATGATGAAAATAAAGACAGTTAGTGGCATATTGCATTTCCTTCAATTTAAAAATACAGACCATATGCACAGCTCATCATAAACATAATTAACAGGATATACAAAGCACATGCCCACCCAGCAACCCTACCAATGACACAAGAAAGAGCAGAGCTTATCTTCATAGATTCATGTTTTCCACAAACACAGGCAATACTTAAAACACAAGAAGTGTAAGCACATGCCCACCCAGCAACCCTACCAATGACACAAGAAAAGAGCAGAGCTTATCTTCATAGATTCATGTTTTCCACAAACACAGGCAATACTTAAAACACAAGAAGTGTAAGCAGAGAGCAGAGCTTTTGAACGGAAAGCACACAAAAAACGCAAGCACACTAATTCCCCAGTAAACGGCTCCAAACATGTCTATTACTAGTATTATTTGATAACTTCCTTTAGAATAAAGCCCAGTGAGTAAGTACCAAAGTCAGTAGATTAAAAGTCCAAAAAAAGATAGCAGACTCCTCAGAGAATAGTTTGTAGCCAAGGTATGTTAAAGAGCCATTTGTTAGTAATTACAATTCAGATAAAAGCACAAAAAAAAAAAAAAAAGTAAATATACACCAGCACATACATCCAGTACATAAAATCCAGGATCCAATCATCACCAATTAGGTATTAAAATTCATCCCTCACACCACAGGCATACAACACTGATACTTTCAATATACAGGAAAAAGAACTCGATCATATATCACAACGCTCAAGTGAAATTCATTCCTCATGGAGAACACAAAAATACTAGCAAAAGTAACAAAAGGCAAGAAAAAACATAAATCCATAGATTTCATATCCTTTATTAAAAAAATCAAAAATTTTATTCGACCATCATAAATCTGCAAAACCCATGTAGCAAAGTATTGAAAAAGAATCATAAAAAGAAATAAAAGAAAAAAGATATACTTTGCAAAGGGCGGTTCTTGATGACGATGTGACCATTCTTGCGAATGGTACCAGCTTGTTGGGGATAGGTTTTGGAGGCGCCGGCATCGGCCTTGGACTCAAACTGATGCTCCTCGTCCGACATCGCTCCTCTTCTTTCCTTTCTTTTCTTTTCGGATTTTTCTCTTCACTGCAAATGAGTCCTCAGAGCAGCAACCGAAAAAGGGGAGAAGAAACGTACGGAACATCACGCTTTTATAGCTCTAAATAGGCTGCAATTTTGCCCTAGGGTTTGGCATTGTTTGCAATGGTTAGAGGTGCCCACGGACCAGTTCAATGTCAAATCAGTCTTAAATCGGTCCGAAGATTTTAAATTGGTCCGGAAAAAGTGAGCTTGAGCTTTACTGAGTCTGGTTGGGCTTAGCACAAATCTAAACTGGCTTATAGAAGTCGGTTCCGGTCTTATAAAAAATAACCCGGAATCTAATTCGAAACATGTCCAGACCCAGGCCCGGGCACGACTTAGGTCCCTAACAGGCCCAGGTACGGTCCAAATCCGAATCTAACATGGACTTTATAAATTACTCGTATATATAAAATAATACACTTTATAATATTTATAAGTTATCAAATAATATTACAAGTCTTAGAAAAAATTTTAATAGTACAAGTTCAAATGTTATTAAAGTCTTATAAATTTTTTATTTTGTAGAAAATCATATTGTTCTTTTATTTTGAAATTAATGGTTAAAATATTATTTTAATAAAAAAATATTAACTTTGAAAAAGTGTGCGTGGGTGCATATATTAATTAGTATTATTATATCAAGAGGTTGAAGTAGTTTAAGTTGTAAGAACACTCGTTGTTAGTTATAAGCTCAATGGTTTAAATTTTATTTCAAACAAAAACAAAAACAAAAAATGTATAAATATTTTACATAAAAATAAATAAATAATTATGGGCCTAATCCGAGATCGGCACACAAGAAGCTCGGGCCCAGATCCAGGACCAACTCGGGGTAGGCCCGACATGAGACCGGCCCAGGTTATCCTGGACCGGTCTTGATCAATGCTAGCCTAGGCCCGAGCTCGGCACGAGGAGATTTGGCATCCTCTAGTTGTGGTTTTTGTGGAGACTAGAGACGAAGATTCTAAGAGTTGATTATTAAACATGATTTCGCGTCCTCATTTTTTGTACAGTTGTGATTTTTTTTAAAAAAATTTCTTTTTCAAAATTAGATTTGATTTTTTCTAAAAAATTTTGGCGTGAAATACGTTTTTTTTTTAATTTGGAAAATAAAAATACAACTTTTTTATTCGATCCTAGACCAGAGGCACTCAAGATCAGCGAAGAGATTCACCCAATGATTGAAAGAGTATGGATTTTTTTTTATTGAAACACTAATATATATTTTATATTTTTTCAATTTTTTTCAGCTTAAAGAATCAATGCCTCCATCACCGGGTTCAATTATGTAACTACCCATTTAGAATGGTAATAAAGGTGTCATCACGTACTTGGCAAGGACAATGGATAATTAAAAGATAATAAAACATTCAAAATAGTGAGCAATATAATTGAATTTCTTTGGTGGAGTTTGTTGGTTTTATGACTTTTGGATAGTCAATGGCAGGCCAACATTACCATTAAAATAAGAGTATATGGGAAAAATATAGAAATAAATGAATATTTCTTATTGCTTAGAATTGCCTTGTAATAATGAAGATTGCCTCCCTTTTTTCATGTATGGGTGTCTATTTATACATATATTTTGGGCCTAGAGCCCTACAAAGAATAAGAATTCTAGAGTGGCTTATATTGGTAGTCCTTGTTACAACAAAAATTATGTCGTGCAACCGTGTGTACCATGCATGGTGCACAGGAAATTTGATTCATAATTTCTATGCTATAGATTCATAATTTCTATTTGAACTCTATATTCACAATTACAAAACTCTATGTTCATAATTTTCAATGTTCATGTTCCCAATTGTTGAACTCTGTATTCACAAATCACTGAACTATATGTTCATAATTTGATAACTATACAATATAGAAATTATGAATCTACAGTTTAGAAATTATGAATCTATTGTATAGAAATTATAAATCCAATTCAGTGTGCACCATGCACAGCATAACGCTCCCATTGTTACATTATGAATGGCAAATTATGTTGTGCAAGGTGGACACGGTTTCAAAACTGTTCATAATTATGAATATATAGTTTACAAATTATGAGCATATAGTTCTATAATTATGAACATAGAATTGTGAACATAATTACGAACATATAGTTCTGTAATTATGAATATAGAAATTCAATAATTGTGAACATGAAGTTCAAAAATTATGAATATATAACTTTATAATTATGAACATATAGTTCAGTAATTATGAACATAAAGTTTTGTAATTGTGAATATAGAGTACAATAATTATGTATATATATAACTTTATAATTATGAACATATAGTTTAGTAATTATGAACATAGAACCGTGCCCACCTTGCAAGGTGGACAGGGTTCCACAGCATAACGATTGGCACTGGGCAAATTATGTTGTGGAACCGTGTCCACCTTGCAAGGTGGACACAGTTCTAACATTATCATAATTGTGAATATGGAGTTCAAAAATTATGAACATGTAATTCTATAATTATGAACATAGAGTTATGAACATATAATTCTATAATTATGAACATAGAGTTCTGTAAATTTGAATATATATAGAGTTCAATAATTGTGAATATAAAGTTCAAAAATTATGAACATAGAGTTTTATAATATGAACATAGAGTTCTGTAATTGTGAATATAGTATTCAATAATTGTGAATATGACGTTCAAAAATTATGAACATAGAGTTTATAATTATGAACATAGAATTCAGTAATTATGAACATAGAACCGTATCCACCTTGCGAACACAGTTCCACGGTATAACAATTGCTCCGCACTGTGTATCATTCTTGGACTTCCTTAATCCAATTACATTTTGGACCAGTCCAATTACTTTCTTGGGCCAGTCCAATTGAAGTCTTCTGAGTATAGTAATTTTGTCACGTTTAGTCCTAAAATTTTCAAGTTAACCACTTGACCTTCAACTTTCAAATTTTAACACATGGTGGCCCTTTTGTTTGTTTTAGCCATTCATGCCATTTAATAAAGTAAAGGCAAAGTTATCCTTTCAACTTAGTTAGACTAAACGTGGTAGTGCCACTATATATACTCGGAGGACCCCAGATGACAATAACTCTTTATATATATATATATATATATATATATATATATATATATATATATATATATAATGGTATATAGTTAAGTTTGCATGCTGAAATTATAACAATTTGACAACAAAGATATATATATATATATATATATATATATATATATATAATAATAACAATGAACCCCATCTATGGTGCGTTTAATGGTCCCTTTATAGAGGAGAAAAAGACACATATCATCGCATCTATATGGATCTATAAATTATGAATTTACAGTACAGAAATTATGAATCTACAGTACATATATTATGAATCTGCAGTATAGAAATTATGAATTTACTGTATAGAAATTATGAATCTATTGTATTTAAATTATGAATCTACGGTCTAGAAATTATGAATCTAAAGTATAAATTTTATAAATCTACAGTATATAAATTATAAATCTACATGATAGAAATTATGATCTACAGTATAGAAATTATGAATATAGAACCGTGTCCACCTTGCAAGGTGGACATGTGCTCACATCATAACATTTCCTTGCTTGGAGGGGCAAATACTTTGGTATTTTGGTGAGGTTTTGAAAGCTTAAACTTTTGTTTGGAGGAGAGATGCTTTGGTGAGGGGGGCCAAATTAAACAAAAAAAACAATATACTAATTGATGGTTTCTGGGTTTTCAGGCCCAAGGAGGTCCAACACAACCTTTGGCTGGAGGATACACCTTTCAATAAAAATGTATGCCTATCTCGAAAATAGTGCTAGTACTCGGAATCTCTCTCGTATTCTCCCCCCTCCGGGTATTCAATCGTCTGTCCTTTTACAAGAGTGGAGGAGCCTTTAAATAGCGGCTCCTCTTCTACTGATTTGAAGGCCCTTAATGGCTGACTTCAAGACTAATCAAGATATGGAGCCGTTGGACGTCATTACTCGGCCGACCAACGGCTCTTCTAGGCTTGTAACAGTCTGTCCGGATCCTGCTTTCGATGTCCTAACGGCTCCCTTTTAAACGAGCCTCTTCAATGCTCTCAACGGCTCCTTGAACGAGTCTTTCCCTGGGCTTGGGCCTTGGTCGACTCCTCGTCTCAGCCTAAGCTCCCATTGGGCTCCTCTTTAGCAGTTCTGACCCGGGCCTCGTGCCTGCCTGGGCCGACTCCAGGACTCAGCCCACTTGCTCTTCGGGCTCCTCAGACGCTGGCCCACTTCTCCTGTCTTGAACCATTTCCTTGGGCCCCTATCTCTTGGGCCGGGGTCCTTACCCCATCAACTAGTCCCTCACTTTTTCATACCCGGTACGCTAGCCTGGGTTTGAAAAAGTAGCAACTGTCCGTCTCCTTCAATCACTGTATCCACGGCTTAAATAGCCTTTTGTAACGTCCGGATCCTCACCCATTCTCTCCAGATCTCACGGAGCCGTTTGGATTCTTCTGTCTAAACCTGGCACCTATAAATGGCCTCCTCCCTTCTCTCTTACCTTCACAAGTCCATCATGGGTCGTTCTCCTCTGAAAGGAAAACGGATTGACTTCGGGTCTCCTTGCGTCCGCTGCCTTCCAAGCGGACTCGGCCTGAAAGGGAACACAAGAGAAGACTCCTCGCCCGGCCTCTCAGAGGTCTCCTGCCGGCGCTACTTCCTCAGCTTCTCAGCCGCCGACCCCCTCGTCGTGAGGTCGCTCCGTCTTCACGCTAACCGCCTACTCCCACAACTGCCCGAGTGACTTCTCAAGACGGGTCCTTTGTTGAGGGTGGCGGTTCCGAGCAACTTACTTTCAGAATGACCTTCTCAATTCCGCTGGACGACCTGGACGGGCCAGTTACGGGCCTGATGAATGATGAGGACTACACCCGCTACTTGGAGGCGTATCCAGATGATGAGGAGCCAATCGCGCCACCACTCATGCCAGCTTTCTGG